TCAATATCATGGCTACGGCTCAATTAAGACCACAGTTTGGAGGTTCACGAAAACTGGAAACCAGATAAGGAAGTAATCTCCCCCCCTCCGGCCTTTTTTCAATTTTTTCAGCGGAAAAGCCCCCCCCCCCAAAAAAACCCTCCCATGAATATTTTCTCTTTTGGAATATGTGTAATGCTTTTCAAGATAATTCCTATGCGTGGTGTAGACAAAGAGCAAAAAAAGGATATATCTATGACAATAAATTTAGCAACAATTTATAACTAAGGACCCCCTCCTCACATACAGTCTAGTCCAGGGGTGTCAAACATGAAGCCCAGGGGCCAGAACCAGCCCTTCCAGGGCTCTTATGTGGCCCACGAACAACTGATACAAGGGAGGGAGTACTGGGGGGAGGGAGCGGAGCCACTCTACTGTGGCTTCAGCATGGCAGAAAAGCCTCATCTGAAGCAATCAAGCATTGTGGAAGCATCTGCCTAGCGCTGCACTACTGCCTCTCCAGTCTGCCTATGTGGGTTTTTCTCTGCATCCCCCCTCCTAGCCCATCGGATACACCGACTCAGCACTTACAAGCTGCTGTACTTTATAAAGTTTCTATCCCTGGTACCTGGCATTACATGTTATGGCACACATGGCCTGGCCTGACAAAGTGACATTTATTTCAGATCTGGCCCTCGTAACAAATAAGTTTGACACTTCTGATAGCCTGCCTACCAAGCCTACTCTGCAGAAAACCAAAGACAAGACTTTTTCAGCAGTGGCACTTCACCTAGGAAATACTGTTCCCTGTGAGGCTTGCCTGCCCTATCTTCTTTTGGGCGCCAGGGGAAATGTTTCTTTTTTGTTAGTGACTTGTTTTAAGCTGCTCAGTGTTTTATGTTGCTTTTATGTTTTGGCTGAGTTTTTAATTGTTAACAATTTTTATGGCATTCCATTTTTAATATTATGTTTAGTTCTGTATGCCACTTCAAGCAGGTTATCTGGCAAAGTGGCACAGAAACTTCCTAAACAAATAAATACATGTACTATTTATTTATTTTATTTATTTATTTTAAATTTATATCCCGCCCTCCCCGAAGTCTCAGGGCAGCTCACAAGGGGCATAAATGCTGAGGTTAAAACAATAAAACAACACAAAACAGTATAAAATACAATAAATACAGTTTACTAAAAATTCCTTCCACGGTGCTCCAAGGATATTTAACTATAAGATTCAAGATGGGGTTCCAAGATAATTTATGCTAAGCAACAAACAGTAGTGATAATAATATACAATAACAACAATATACGTCCCTACAGTGCTGTCATCTGCGAGGAACATCTCACGCCTCCGGTATTGTCCGCTCCAGAGATGGTCAATTTGCGGAATTAAAAAGAAAGGGGGCGCAGATGGAATAACGATGGCAGATGATGGTGGCGCGGCGGCTCCTACTCAAAAGCCTGGTGGAAGAGCTCCGTTTTACAGGCCCTGCAGAACTGAACCAGGTCCTGCAGGGCCCGGATTTCTTCTGGGAGCTCATTCCACCAGGTAGGAGCCGCCACTGAAAACGCCCTGGTAACTGCAAACTTGATGTTCCTGGGGCCTGGAATGTCCAGGAGATTTTGATTCCCCGACCGTAGTGCCCTTGGGGGAACATGCGGGGAGAGGCGGTCCCTTAGGTAAGCCGGACCCTGAATAGGGCTTTAAAGGCTAAAACCAGCTATTATTAAACTATGATGGTTTAATAATATATTATGGAAAAGTTCAGTGTTTTTAATGTTGTAGTTTATCTTGTCCAAATAATACTCATTTACTACAAAACTGTTTTCTAATTCTATTTTCCCCTACCACTCACATGGCAAAGGTTAAGATATTTTTGCAAAGGCAGCACAAGATGTACCTTTCGGCAGTTCTATCTCAAGTATTAGTACACTTCCAAATGTGCTCACAGAAAACTAAATTCCATAAATACACCAAGCAGCAGAGCTTCAAATGCTAAATAATAAATTATATGTTTTATGTTGCTAAACAGTAAAGTGCATTGAGATTTGACTGAAATGTAAGTGTTGCATATATTTCAGTTTTTCCATAAATCTCTGAATTTTCCTGAAACAAACAAAAAAATCCTTTTCTCTTGAGACTTCACAAATTCTGAAAATTTTACATTTCTACTCCAGCAGCAGGAGATAAACTGAGGGTGAATGGAGGGGATGGGTTCTTTCAACTCAGGCTGAGGTGCTGCACTCCAACCCAAAGGCGTTCAGCAACATTTTTAGCTTTGAAGTATTGTGAGCTCAAAAATAACTTCCTGTCCCTGTTTCTGACACACTGAGAATAACAGCTCATTATGTGAGGGGGAACTCAATATTTAGAGATCTTCAAATGTATTTTAAAATTTTAAAGTAGTCTGAAAAAAAGTTTAAGGAATGCTGTACATTAGAGAATTCAATGCTTTTTAAGAGTAACATGCTTTCTAAATAATGCACATTAACCTTCATTCACAAAAATATTTCTTATGTCCTGAATCAAGCTTGATTAAAGTTATCAGATGATTTTTTTAAAGTGATGCTTGCTGTTTCATGTTTGTTTAAACAAATCCTTCACCCACATCTCCTTCCCATGAATGCAACAAGGTAATTAGCTTCTTTCTCTTCTGTGGCAAACTATATTTGCTCTTGTACTTGAAATAGTGATCTGTGGATTGTCCCAAAGGAGGATGAATAATCTTGTTGTGCACAAGTAAAGGAGTGGGAAGCAGCATTTACATGAGCAAGCCTGAAGCTCCTTCAAGTCTTTTCACATAGCAGCAAACCATGGTTTGTTATTATGCCAGAACCATGCCTATACTATCTTATCTCCTGATAAAAGC